TATCTAAAATCCTGGTATGCCAAAAATCTCTAGGCACTCTCAACTCAGCAGCATATAAAATATAAAAATAAAATATATAAAAGCGATAAATCAAGCTATTAAAACTCTGATCAATGAATAAACTCATTCAAGATCAAATAATGAGATTAAATTGCATCAATTCATTTATGAAAACAAAATGGTCCACTCACAGATACTCTGAGCTGGCTGGACCCTTTGAAAGTCCCTCCTGCGGGTCATCTGGTGCCCAGGTGCCTAATTCGTCCGATTTGGTGGCCGGAGGAGAGAGAACGAGCGATGCGAAGTTTGAGCGAAAATCAACTCGTTTTCTGCAGTTTTCCGGTGAACCTCGCAGCGGCTGAAGGCGGGAATGGCTGGGCTGCGACGGCGGGAGCTGGCCGGTCCAATCTTGGCCGGTCCGGTGCAGTGTGGTGGCGGCTGGAGGTGGCTGGGTGATCGGCTGGAGCAAGAAGAAAACAGGGGTGGGGGTTTGGTGTTGCACAAGGAAGAAGAGAAAGTGAGGAGAGAGAAGGGAAAATCAGTTTTAAAAATCTGATTTTTCAAATTTACCATTTTGCCCTTCTCAGTATTTTGATCGTATTTCCTTCGTTACAAGTCCGATTCGAGTCCACTTCGTGTCCACAGACCCGTTTCGTCGCGCTCTACGCAACGGTACAAGTGGATTTCCCAAATTCCTTCTTGGTCAAAGAGTCAACTTTAAACCTAATAAAATATTCTAAGGGTATACTTGTCTTTTCCTCTAATAAATTATAATTAAATAATAATTAAGGTTTGGGTTGTTACATATATAGTAAATTTGGCTTATCCTCTCCAAATTGAATTTTCCTTAACTACAATCCATCACTTTTTGTCCCTATTAATAAAACTCATTTTTTATAAGTAAAAACCATGATTAGGATCTACCTCATCAAGTTACCTTATCAAGCTCAAGATTTGATTTTATTAAAATTTTCTGATTCCCAAAATACCCCTACATATTTGCAATTGTTGTTTTCTCCATTGATTGTGCTAAATATACTTTAAACATATTTGTTGCAATTCAATGTCATTAATATTCAAATGGTGTATTTTTAGATAGGAAAATGGTGTTTTAAATTGGCTTAAATTTAGGAATTTTTAGGGTAAGTTTTTTTCTCTTTAGAAAAAAAATATATTTAGTATGGTACTGTATCGCCATGTCAGATAGTGATGCTCCCACTCAAAATCTGCCACTTGTCACTTTTTAAAGAAAACTACATTCTTTTTATACAGCTGGACTTTCACATCCAATTTTACCCTTTACAATAAAATTAAGGCTTAATTATTGATATGACCCCTGTGCTTCATAGAAAATCTCACTTTGCCCCCTATACTTCAAACTGAGTCAATATGCTCCCTGTGCTTTATTTTTGCGTCCCCCGTTACCTCATTCCGTTAGTTTGGTCAGTAAAATCGTTAACTTGCTGACGTGGCATGGGTATTTTAGTATTTTTAACTATTAAAAATTCTCAGAATTTTAAAACAGTTTTAAAATATTTTAATAATAAAATAAATTAGAAAAGAGGGAAAAATAAATCCCCCAGCACCCGAATAGCCCCCCAACACCATAACCCAACCCTTCCCCATCACCAACAACCACCCCCAACCCATCTTGCCACCCTGATTTCTCCTCTGCCATGGTAAAAAAGTAAAAAACAAAATAAAGTTCTTCAATATGAGTTTACTGTTTATAAACTCCAATCGCATAACCCTCATGGTTGCACAGAGAATATGTAAAAATGACAAGCATGAAATCAAATCAAATCCAGTTGGAGAAGATAAGAGAAGTTCTTGCGCCTTGGGGTTTTGGCGTTCGAATAATTTGTTGGGATGGCTATGGCTTGGGGCAGATTGGATTTGTGAGGTTGGGTGTGGATTTGGGGTGTCAGCTAGAGGTGAGTATGGTTGGGGGTTGAAAGTGGCTAGGGGGGGTGGGATTGATTGTTATTAAAGGTTTGGGGTGGGTGCATCACATGGGTGGGGATATCATATTTGAACAATGGTGGAGTGGTGGCCATAGGTTGGGGGCGGCAGGTGGTGGTGGGGAATGGTTGGGTTGTGGTGGTGGGGCTATTCGGGTGCTAGGGGCTTTAATTTTTTTTTTAAAGAACTTTCTAATTATTAAAATGTTTTATAAACAGTTTTAATAGCTAAATATCTAAAATACTCATGCCACGTAAGCAAGTTAACAGTTTTACAGACCAAACTGACGGAATGGGGTAACAGATGACACAAAAATAAAGCACAGGGGGCATATTGACTCAGTTTGAAGTGTAGGGGCAAAGTGAGATTTTCGGTGAAGCACATGGGGCATATCAATAATTAAGCCTAAAATTAATAAAAGAAAAATCACAAAGAAGAAAATTGCACCAAACTCCCACTCGACTGAAATTACCAATTCCCGTTCTCCGCCCCCTCTCTCTGAGTTTCTAATCCTCCTTCCATCTCTCTCTACTATACCAGCAACTACTTTATCTTACAGTTGTTATTTATTTCCACATTGAAATTCTGCCCATTTATTCATCTCCCTCAACATAAAAAGAATAAAAAATCGAAAAAACTAGAATATTGTACACTAACCACTGCACTCAGCTTTGCCTCCCTTGGCCATCGCCCCCGCTCTCTCAGTTTCTCATTTAGAAGAATGAGATTTGCATATTCCAATTGATCCCAAGTTAGCTTTTGGGCAAGTCATATTCAATTGAATGAGATCTGCATATTCAATTAAAAAGTCTAAAGTTTTCTCATATGTTATTGAGAGAGGACAGAGAGATGTAAGGAAGAAGAGAGAGAGAGAGAGAGAGAGAGAGAGAGAGAAAGAGTAGGGTGCGGCGGTGGAGGGAGATAGTTTGGGTAACATGTTCTCTTTTTATTTATTTTTTATTTATAGATTTTATTTGGAAAGGTAAAAGAATAATTTCATGTCCAGCTGTAATTGTAATAACCCGATCCTAAATTAATATTTAATTATAAATTTAATTTAGTAAAAGACAATTTTACCTCGGAAATATTTTAATGGTTTAAAAGTTGACGTTTGTTTAGGAAGGAATCTGGGGATTTCAGTTGTACCCTTGGGAAGAGTACGTCGAGATGAGTCCGTAGACACGTAGTGGGCATAAATCGGAGTTGTAACGAAGAAGTTACGATCAAAAGAAGTCCAATGGCACAATCGTAATTTTTGCAAAGTCAGATTTTTTAAAAAAACTGACATCTCTCTCTCCTACCTCACGACACTCTCTCTCCTCAAAACAGCCCCTTCATTTTTTATTTTGCGCAGCCACCACTTCCCGGTCAGATTCCGGCGCCGTCCGACGTCATTTGGCGGCGCTTCCTTCACGAAAGTTGTTCTCCTCCTCCTCCTCTACAAAGCCCATCTGATATCTGTCCTTGAAAGGCTAATACTTCTCCAGATTTTGGATGTGAAAATTGACGAAAAATCTGCCAGATTTTTGTCAAAACTTTCCGTCGCTCGTTCCGGCGATTCCGGCCACCATTTTCTTCGATCTAGGTATGTTTTTTATCATCTCAATGTGTTCTAGCTGCTGGTTTTGTTATTTAGGAGAAATTTCAGCGTTTGGTGGTCAAATAAGCGATAGAAGTTTTGGACGGTTTCGGCCCCCGATTCCGGCCACTTCCGGTGACTTTTTGGGGTTGGTCCAAAACAAAAGTTGCTCCATTTATTGTCTTGATCATGTAGGTATAGGTCTTGACCGTCGGTTTAGAGATTTTCCGATTGCCGGAATCTCTTTGGACACCCACACATTGCTGGCGCATGTGGCGGGGCATGGGCACTGTTTTGGTGTCTCTCTTGGTCCTAAAATGATCCTCATGTCGTCCCAAGTACGATGGTATACTTAGATTTCAATTTGGTTACTGTTTGATCATCGATCGGATATTGCATATTAGGCGTTATCTGGGTTCGATATGATCGGGCCGTTGGATCGACTCTAATTTAAAATATATTGATCTAGGCACTTCTAGGATTGTATAGGAATTCACAAATCGAGAATCAGAGTCCCGAATACTTCGATTCAATAATTCAAAATTTAGGTAAACGATAACCGTCCGATCGTGCGATCATGAACAATCTGATCGTTTGATTCGGACCAAATGTGCATGACAGGTATAGTAAACCTTATTGAACCCGTAGGAACTTCCGGATTGGAAATCGGAGGTCGTAAGCCCCGCAGGCTCGATTGACCCAATTTAGAAAGTTTGACCCTCGGTTGACCGTGAGTCTTCCGAGGTAATAACATGGAAGGATTGATGGACCTCGAAGCCTAAAGAGTTCTCTGAGTTTTTTTTTGGTTAACTTTAGTTTTTTTAAAAAAATATTAAAGAATGGTTGTAGTTCTTAATGTAATGTTGTTTTTAAATTTCATGTTGTATCTTCGGATTGAATTTTGAATTATGAATTATATGTAATGAAAAACTAAAGTTTTTTTGCAATGATTATATTTTCATACAAACCGATCATCCAATCCAATGTACATTGGATTGGATTGGATTGGATCCTAACATCTAATCATATTGGATTGGATTGTAAAATCTGTAATCCAATAAAAAATTGGATTGGATTGGATTGTTAAGAAACCATTGGTTTCGACCCGATGCTCAGCCCTAGTGGAGGGAGATAGTTTGGGTAACATGTTCTCTTTTTATTTGGAAAGGTAAAAGAAGAATTTCATGTCCAGCTGTAATTGTAATAACCCGATCCTAAATTAATATTTAATTATAAATTTAATCTAGTAAAAGACAATTTTACCTCGGAAATATTTTAATGGTTTAAAAGTTGACTTTTGTTTAGGAAGGAATCTGGGGATTTCAGTTGTACCCTTGGGTAGAGTACGTCGAGATGAGTCCGTAGACACATAGTGGGCATAAATCGAAGTTGTAACGAAGAAGTTACGATCAAAAGAAGTCCAATGGCACAATCGTAATTTTTGCTAAGTCAGATTTTAAAAAAAAACTGACATCTCTCTCTCTCCTACCTCACGACACTCTCTCTCCTCAAAACAGCTCCTTCATTTTTTATTTTGCGCAGCCACCACTTCCCGGTCAGATTCCGGCGCCGTCCGACGTCATTTGGCGGCGCTTCCTTCACGAAAGTTGTTCTCCTCCTCCTCCTATACAAAGCCCATCTGATATCTGTCCTTGAAAGGCTAAGACTTCTCCAGATTTTGGATGTGAAAATTGACGAAAAATCTGCCAGATTTTTGTCAAAACTTTCCGTTGCTCGTTCCGGCGATTCCGGCCACCATTTTCTTCGATCTAGGTATGTTTTTTATCATCTCAATGTGTTCTAGCTGCTGGTTGTGTTATTTAGGAGAAATTTCAGCGTTTGGTGGTCAAATAAGCGATAGAAGTTTTGGACGGTTTCGGCCCCCGATTCCGGCCACTTCCGGTGACTTTTTGGGGTTGGTCCAAAACAAAAGTTGCTCCATTTATTGTCTTGATCATGTAGGTATAGGTCTTGACCGGCGGTTTAGAGATTTTCCGATTGCCGGAATCGCTTTGGACAACCACACATTGCTGGCGCATGTGGCCGGGCGTGGGCACTGTTTTGGTGTCTCTCTTGGTCCTAAAATGATCCTCATGTCTTCCCAAGTACGATGGTATGCTTAGATTTCAATTTGGTTACTGTTTGATCATCGATCGGATATTGCATATTAGGCGTTATCTAGGTTCGATATGATCGGGCCGTTGGATCGACTCCAATTTAAAATATATTGATCTAGTCACTTCTAGGATTGTATAGGAATTCACGAATCGAGAATCGGAGTCCCGAATACTTCGATTCAATAATTCAAAGTTTAGGTAAACGATAACCGTCCGATCGTGCGATCGTGAACAATCTGATCGTTTGATTCGGACCAAATGTGCATGACAGGTATAGTAAACCTTATTGAACCCGTAGGAACTTCCGGATTGGAAATCGGAGGTCGTAAGCCCCGCAGGCTCGATTGACCCAATTTATAAAGTTTGACCCTCGGTTGACCGTGAGTCTTCCGAGGTAATTTTACCATTTGAGAAGTGCTAGAACGACCTTGTAAATGAGGCTTGACTATTTGTGAATTATTTTTACTATGAGTTATGCTATAGCGTCTTATGTTGCTCTTGGGTGTTATTCGGATATTGAAAGTTTATCTTGTTATTTATTTATTTATTGTTATTATAAGTTTTATTAAAGGTTATTGTGGAATTTGGGTTGGGTCCTGTTAGTAATTAGTTTTAACTTTTTAAAATAAAAATAGACAAGTGGCAGATTTTGAATGGGAGTATCACCAGCTGAAGTGGTGATACCGTACCATTCTATAATTTCTCCAAAAGAAGTCACGTTTAAGGCCTATTGAATTTATGAAGAAATATTAACATACCTATCGTGTTTTAACATAAAATAATGTGCCTATTATTTGTACCTTTTTTTTTTAATGAATAATATAACTTTTTTTTTACATATCTTTTGTAAATATACCTATTGTGTGTACCTATTACACTCAAAATCCATTTATAAACATACCCAAAGCCTATCATTACATACATACCCAAAACCCATTTTGGGTATGTTTCTATGTTTAAATAGTGCTTGGGTATTTTTATAAATACATGTCTAGGATTGGGTATTTTTATAAATATCTATTATAATTAAGGTAGGTGGCATATAATGTAATTTAATTAATAATATTATGACAAATCTGTCTCACATGGCAGCCTATTTTAAATTTGTGTTTTCAGTAAAGATTTAAAAGTAGGTGGGTATATGACTAGGATGTAATAGTTGTAAGGGTCTATATCGGAAGAACTCTAGATTATATACATGAAGAAGTTCATGCATTTGGAATAAATGCTTTATTCATCCATTTGGGATTAACTAGGTTCATGATTTAATTTTCCATTCATGCATTTGGAATAAATGCTTGTTCATGCATTTGGGATTATCCGGGTTTCATGATTAAGAGCATTTTCAAGAGTCTCCAAATTTTAGCTAAAATAGTTAGAAAGATATTATAGCAAACTACTTAAAAAGAAATTCCTCCATCAACGTTCTCTATTACGGCTAGTATACGGACTTTGATGGAGATACTCTTATAAATAGGGAGATTTGGTTCAATATAAGTGATATATATATATATATAAATAGTTGTTTGAGTTGATGGTGTAATGCATGTCTTGAATTATTAAATCAAATTGAGTTTTTCTCTAAAGTTGATAACTACACTATCTCCTTGTTTCGGGTATTCTTAGAATCAACAAAGCTTGAAAATCTACACTCTTCTTGTTCTAGATATTCTAAGAATCAAACAGAGCTTGGAAATTGATTTCAACGTGTATCTTTTCGTCTTGCTCAAAAGTGTCGTTGCACTGCTCTCTCTCTCACACACGCACAAATGGAAGTATCAGTGGTGGCTAGTGTTGCACTACGTGTTTTTTGGGTGAGCATAGTAATTACATGGGCATGGAGGGTGCTGAATTGGGTGTGGCTGAGGCCGAAGAGGCTAGAAAGATGTCTAAGGCAGCAAGGTTTGGCGGGCAACTCGTACAGGCTTTTGGTAGGAGACACGAAGGAAAGCTCCATGATGGTGAAAGAAGCGAAATCTAAACCGATGAACCTCTCCCATGATATAACGCCACGTGTCCTTCCTTTTCTTCATCAATCTGTGACCACTTATGGTATGCCAAGTATCTTTTGACATTCTTGAAGCTTTTTTATTATTTATTTTAATTTTATTAATGTTAGTTATTACATTTTGTTTTACACTTCTTTTATTTTGATATTTGGTTGCTTCGGTGTATTTCTTATTTCCTTTTCAATTGATTATAAACATCAATATAGGTCTGCCAAATAGGTAAGTTTTCTTCACATTGACATCTCAATCATTTTTCTTACCCTTTTTTTTACCTCCTCTTTTTTCGTATGGGTAGTGCTAGATTTACCACATTTTTATACCACATTGTGTACCACCTACCACCTCTCTAGTAGAGAGGTGGAGCAAACCAATACAATGGGGCCCACCTCTATTAGAGAGGTGGTACACAATGTGGTATAAAATTGTGGTAAGCCTAGCATTTTTATTTTCGTTTGTCTTCTTCTTCTTTACTTCTTCTCTTATTCGTCTTGCTTCTTTTTATAGATTTTTTTTTTTTGGTGAATGGTCCTTTTTATAGATATTTTTATATGGGGACAAGGATTTTTCTAGGTCATTTGTGGGGTTTATATTAACTACCTATTAAATTGGTTTGAGTGCCGAGATAAGCCCTAACAAAGGGCAGTAATTTGCATATGTAGGTATACTAATTTATGTATTCCAATTAATAAGGTAACATAATTTTATATTTCTGCTCATGCATTTTTGTCATGTTACATGTGTTCTTCATTTTGACCTTTTGGTTAGGTAGATTATATGTATCTTATATTATACTTATAATGCCGATATTTTTTATTTGAGGTATATGAGTTATGATTTTTTTAGCCATAAACGTTTCAAAGTCAAATTTAAAATCTAAGAGTAATAACAATGCCTTAAATCAATTATTTTAATTTGTTTCAATTATTTACCTTGATGGGGAAAAAAGCTATAAAAAAATAGATACAATAATCTTTTCAACATTTTTAATATGAGATGGGTCTATAATAAAAGACCCCTGGTTGTTCATCGTTAATTCTAAAATCTCTGGATGATTCATGATCAATGTAAATAACTTATTTTATTCTTTTCGGAAATATGTGTAAATAGTTTCTTATAAGTTATAACATTTTTGTGAAAACAAAAAATGCAGGTAAGAATTTTTTTATTTGGATTGGGCCCACACCAAGAGTGAACATCAGTAATCCAGCGGATGTGAAAGATGTATTTACAAAATATGAAGATTTTCAGAAGCCAGTAATAAATCCACTTGTCAAGTTGCTGGCAACAGGTCTGCCAAACTATGAGGGCGAGAAATGGGCAAAACACCGTAAAATCATCAATCCGGCATTCCATTTAGAGAAGCTAAAGGTACTATATACTAGCTTAGTAGAATAGGACCTTGATTTGCGATAAGAGGTCTCAACAGTTCAAACCCCCATGACATCTTAGTTGTGTGTGTGTGAGAAACTCTCCTCCTTCTCATATAATTTAAACTATCGCTTGTACTATAAAATAAAAAAATTCTTTTGTGACGTAAAATGTCTTTTCAACCAATGCATTAAAAAAGTTTCTACACACATGTGATGATTATTTATTTAGGTAATTAGATGTGTGCTATATTTTCTATGTAATTCATGTTAACAAATTCTGAGCTCTTGTTTGTTTGTGTTTTCCTTTGTTTCCTATAGCGTATGTTACCGGCATTTCACCAAAGTTGTAGTGAGATGATTGAAGAATGGGAGAAGTTGGTGTCTAAGGAGGGTTCATGCGAGTTAGATGTTTGGCCTTACCTCGAAAGTTTGGCAGCTGATGTGATTTCTCGAGCATCATTTGGGAGTAGCTATCAAGAAGGAAGGAAAATATTTCAACTCTTGAAAGAGCAAGCAAAACTTACAATAAGAGCTTTACAGAGTGTTTACATTCCAGGATGGAGGTAAAACCCTTTTTGGGCTAGCCAGTAACTATAGATTAGATCAACTGTTTTTTTTTACCATTGATGAAGTTGTTTTGGTGCAGGTTTCTACCAACTAGGAGTAACAAGAGGATGAAGGAGATTGACAGAGAAATTAAAGGTTCACTGAGGGATATTATTAGTACAAGAGAAGAGGCAATTAGGACGGGTGAAGCTACAAAAGATGACTTATTAGGTATACTAATGGAGTCTAACTTGAAGGAAATTCGAGAAAATGGGAACACCAAGAACGTTGGGATGAGCATTGAGGATGTGATTGAAGAGTGCAAGCTGTTTTACTTTGCGGGGCAAGAGACCACTTCAGTGTTGCTTCTTTGGACACTAGTTTTACTCAGTCAAAATCAGAATTGGCAAGCTCGTGCAAGAGATGAGGTTTTGCAAGTGTTTGGAAGCAACAAACCAGACTTCGATGGGCTAAGTCACCTCAAAGTTGTAAGTATTCACAATATATATATCCTTTCACAGTTTTATTTTGAAAAATTTCTTGCATCTTAAGAAACAAACAAAGCAAATTAATCAAACATTTTATGAGTCCAATTTAAAGGACAATAACAAAACATTTTCATAATAGTGGAATTGCTTGAGCTGTGATCGATGCCATATACTCACTTTGTACATGTAGATGTGGAAGGAAGAACCTGAAATCTCTTGAATACCGATAACTTCAAATTTTGATTCAATTATACTATCACATTATTTGGTGAATAAAATTTGGTGAACCTGAAATCTCTTGAATACCGATAACTTCAAATTTTGTTGGTATGTGCTTGTAGATGAATTTCATTGGGGTAATGAGATTTTCATGATATAAACTGTATGACTGTAAAATGCCCTCAGGTAACCATGATTTTACTTGAAGTTCTTCGATTATACCCATCAGTTGTTGCGCTTCCTCGAACCACTCACAACAAAACACAGCTTGGAAAATTATCACTGCCTGCTGGAGTGGAAGTCTCCTTGCCCATACTGCTTCTTCACCATGACAAAGAATTGTGGGGTGAGGATGCAATTGAGTTCAACCCAGAGAGGTTTTCGGAAGGAGTTTCAAAGGCATCAAAGAACCAATTTGCATACTTCCCTTTCGGAGGGGGTCCAAGGATCTGCATTGGACAAAACTTTGCTATGTTGGAAGCTAAATTAGCCTTTTCACTGCTTTTACAACGCTTTACCTTCGAGCTCTCTCCATCATATGCTCATGCCCCATCCTTAACTATAAGCCTTCAACCTCAATATGGTGCTCATATTATTTTACATAAACGTTGATTAGTGCTGAGATAACATTATTGATAAAGCCACATCAAATAAGATTGAACCACGTATATTGTGGTAGTATTTATATGTTCTCATAATTTTCTTTACAAATTGTATTTCTTTTATCCTTATGGTGGTAATTGGAAGAGTCATTGTACTAGCTTTGTTATTAATTTTTTAATTGTCTTGGTTTATGACCCGTTTTGGTTTCTAATGTTCCAATTCTATAAAACAAAAAAAATTGAATAAGTGAATGTCAAGCTGCTTAGGGCTTGTTTGGTATCCTATCCAATTAGAGAACTCAAAAACTGTTATTTTTCTTAAAAACAAGTTGTTCTCAAATCCATTTTTTAAGATTCAAAAAGTGGTTTGGTATGCAACTTGAAAACTGTTTTTGAATCTTTAAATTTTGAAAACTTGTTTGGTTGAATTCTTGAAAACAATTTTTTTTCTTTATTTTTTATAATTAAGATATTTTGATAAATCATACCGTAGTCAACTGCACAAGACTGTTTGGCTTTAAACAAAAAGAGCATTTACCATCATCCACCAGTGATTTTGACCATACATTTATGATCGACAAGCTCGATTGGTCTTTAAGTCTTAAATAATATATATTAAATTGAAACATTCTAGACTAAATAAATTATAAGATTAATGATTATGAATATAATCCATCCACATTGCTCCGGCAATGTGATATCTACACTACAAAAAAAATGGTCTTTTGTGACAAACTTTATTCGATGGCCCCTAAATATCGTCGCAAAAGGTCATTTTTTCGACTAAAAAACGTTGGTTGTCGGAAATATGTCAATATGATACATTTTATTTCCGACTATTAATGTACCCTTGGAAAAAGTCTCTATGGATGTCGGAAATACATTGCTTTTAGACGGGAAGCCTTGGCGCCAGATGTATTACCGACAAAACACATGGCCGTCGGAATTGTCGTGGTTATTTCTGAGGGGCGGTTTTTGCCCTCAGAAATAGTCACTTATTTCCGAAGGCAATTATGTGCGGTCAGAAATAATTGCATTTTACCGACAACATGTTTTGCTTGTCGAAAATAGTTGCCGATTTCCGACGAATAATTTTTGTTGTCGGAAGTAAATTTTCATTTCCGATTGCAATTAACCACTGTCAAAAATAGTTATTATTTTCTACGGCATATAACTTGCATCGGAAAAAGTCATCGAAAAAATTGAAAGCATGGATTAAAAAAGTATAAGAGAAAAATATTATTATTTTTTTAATGCCAATAACAACTATATTGAATTTGTAATGCATGGCTCAATTAAAAGTAACTTAATAAGAAAATGAGCAAATATCCATTGCACAGACGGAATCCTGAATACAAGGTTAAAGAAAAGTGAAAGGAAAGTTCAAATATCCTAAAAATAAGGTCTTAAGCGCTTAATTTGCCTTTAACATTGTTCGAGGAAGTCAAATCCCGAACCCCTAATCTCTTAATTAAGTTACAAATTAAGTGCTGCGAAAAAAAAAAAAGGCAAAGGGAAGGCCAATGGAGGAAAAGGAAAGGGTATAGCTTTTACTTTTTCATTTGTTTAATATTACTTTGTCTTTTACTCTTCTCCCATGGCACAGACAATTACGGCGTCATGGCGAGATGATGATGAAGAAGATGAGGAAGAGGATGAAGAAGAAGAGAGAAAAAAAAAATGTTGTTTGTTTGGTTTTTTTTAATGCAGCCTGTTTGAAGTGAAATAAAATTTATTTTTTGTTTTGTTTTTTGTTAATTAAAAAGGATGGGGAGTTTCTCAAAAAAAATAAAGAAACATATTGTAATTTCGAAAACCAACAAATTTAGGGAAACTAAATCAAAGACTAGGTTATGCTTTATATGTTATGTGGGCCTCAGAGCCTCAAATCCCATATGCTTTTGAAACGAAGACCTGGCTCAATTTTGACTCCATGAAGATGACTGAGGATAGGGGAAATGAATGATGAGAAAAGAAGTGTGATGAGTTCAACCACATAAACGGATTGAATGAAAGAGAAGGCTAAATTAGCTATTTATATATTTCAGTTTTGACTCCATTAGCCTTGTGTATATGTTGTGCATCATCATCAATATAGAATCTTTCTCTCCACTGAAACCGATTAAATTACAATTTAGTAAGAACAAGCCTCGGTCATGGTGGTATGACGGCAAGTTTAATTGTTTATGGTTAGCTAAATTATAATCCAAGTTGGAATTGATTAATTAAATATTTATTATATGGCATGAGCCACATTATTTGGGACTTAAATTTGGTGCACAAATTTGGTGTCCCTGACATTATCCGAAGATTTAAATGTATAATTATCATATCCCAACATTACATCATTAAAGTGTTAAGTAAAAGGTTTCACAATAGTAACAAAATTACCTTTTCTCTGGAGAGCACGCATTTCTTTTATGATTGTAAAATGCTTTTCCTTTTAATGATACGTGTGAATGGCATCCATTCTTTCCATTTTTCCCCCTTGACCATCCTGTACTACTTTAATTTAGTCTTCAAAGAGATATTTCCATTTTGTTTTCTTGTTTTTGGCTTTTGTGAATATATATATTTTTTTTTTATAGCCATGGAAGCTGTTTAATTAGGCAGTAGCAATAGCATATGCAACGAGGATAAATTAGTTTATAATGAGGTCAAAGTCAAAGGGATATAAATCTTGCTAATGGAATACGAAAGATAAAAGGTCAATTGATCTTGGTGGTATCGAAATCAACCGAGCAGGTTTCTGCTAGCTAGCATCACTTATTTCATTAGCATTGTCCTCATGCAAATGGATGTGTTTTTTATTCACTTCAGAGCTTTCTTCAACTACCACTTGAAGATCATTGGCTTGATATTGATGAAATATGATAAATATCCTCTATAACAAAGAAAAATATAACAAGGAATAAGAAAAACATGGTAAACAAAAATAAATATCATTCAACAGACCAACAGGAACAAAAGTTAGCTAGGATCCCAAACACAACAAATCCTCAACAGAACAAGTTTACCTAAGTCTCTATTATCCCCTTTTGAGTTTATACTTTTCCAAAGTTATTTCCTGTATAAAGAATTTAGCACTTTAACGTTTAATACTCATTGTATTTTTCATGTTTGATACACTTGATTTTTTACAAAATTTTCAATAATACACACAAAATTCATGTATTATACACATAATTTTCTCATATTAGGGTTTGTTTAGCAGCACTCTAACTTTTTCACTTGACATTCTATTATCCCGTTACAAGAAAGTTTTTCTTCCACCTTCACGTGCAACTTTTCTTCATATACGCCTGCATAAAAACGTTACCTCTTTCACTCAAAAACGTCACCTCTTATGTCACATTCTTTTCTAGTGAAAAGAAGTCACACGAACCACTCACTTAAAGTTGAAAGTCATATAAAGTGTATATATATATATATATATGCGTGTGTGTGTATGGCACCGTAAAGACCACAATATATACATGCATTTCATGCGTCAGAGCTGAACTCACTTCTGTATAATACTTTTGCTACAGAATAATTGAGTATCACCTTGTACGTACACACACAAGTCCTCACCTTGCTACACAATTATTGAGTATAACCTTGTACGAGCAGAAAGCAGTGAGTGGTTTGATTGAGAAGGACAAAGATCCTTTGTTTTTAGCCACAAATATCTAAAATTGTGGACGGAAATGAATCGACTTGGGACAAGGAGTTCCTCCAGTTTCACACATTTAACCCATTTCCTCGCTCCTTTCCAAACAAGTCCTCTCTCTCTCTCTCTCTCTCTCTCTCACACACACACACAAAAATGGAAGTATCAGTTGTGGCCAGTGTTGCACTACGTGTTGTTTGGGTGAGCGTAATAATTACATGGGCATGGAGGGTGCTGAACTGGGTGTGGCTGAGGCCAAAGAAGCTAGAAAGATGTCTAAGGCAGCAAGGTTTGGCGGGCAACTCGTACAGGCTTTTGATAGGAGACACGAAGGAAAGCTCCATGATGCTGAAAGAAGCAAAATCTAAACCCATGGACCTCTCCCATGATTTAGCGCCACGTGTCCTCCCGTTTGTTCATCAATCCATGAACACTTATGGTATGCCAACTACATCTTTTGACATTTCAATTTACTACTAGGGATGGCAGTCGTACGTCCCCATTGGTAATAAGCGTTTTTGCAGGGCTTTGATCCTATGGGTCGGGTATGAAAGATGAAAAACGGGTATAATTATGGGTATGAGGAATTTTTCGGATATGGTGTTCTACCTCTATAATTATGATGTCTTGGACATGTAGTTTTGACATGTATTAGTTATTTTTTAAATAGTCTTAGATTTTAGTAAATAAAAATTGAATTGATAGATATGTTGTGCTTAGAGCATCCACAATGGGGGGGTGTAAATTCGGGGGTGTAAAGCCACTTTTACATCCCCTTTACACCTTCGGGGGTGTAAATATGTTTTTTGCTCCAGTGGGAGGTGTAAATTCGGGGGTGTAGCCATGGGTCCCAGCCTTTTATGTTGACTTTTCTTCATTTTTCTTCTCTTTTCTTGGGTGAGTCCCGCCTGCAAGGGATGTAAAAATAGATGTAAATATACATTTTATTTTACATCCCCATGATGGTGATGTATATTTACATCCATTTACATCTCCTCATTGGAGACGATTCCGATGACTCGGGGTGTATATTTAACATACACCCCCCACTGTGGATGCTCTTATAGTGCTTTTTTCTCTTTCAACAAAGTTTTTTTTTATTGGTTTTTTTTTTTTCGTTATTATTGGTTTTTTTTTTCGTTATGGGGCTGGTCAGGAATCCGTTCCCCAACAAAGGCGGGAATGGAGGAAAAATGCTTAATGGAAATGAGGATGAGAATGGTATACCCACCTCCGATTCAACCCATTGTCATCCCTATTTACTACCTTCATATGTACTACTATAGTTATTCTTCCATAAAATTCTAATGTGTTATCTCATATATACTGTTAGATAATTAATTGATCATGTTATTAATTTTTATTTAAATGTGTGGATCTAGTTTACAATCTAGCTTCCTAGATCAACAATCACATCGGTATCCTTTCGTTCAGTAACCTTTAGAAACCGTCGAAAACCTCTGATTCATGATAAATGTAGGATTTATTTATTTATTTTTGTGGTTTATCTTGGTAATGGATATATACGATACCTGTAAATAATTAACTTTATATATTTGCCAATATGTGTAAACAATTTCTTATAAATTATAAGTTTTATTGTGATAAAACAAAAAATAATGCAGGTAAGAATTCTTTTATTTGGATTGGCCCCACACCAAGAGTGAACATCAGTAATCCAGAGGATGTGAAAGATGTATTTGCAAAATATGAAGATTTTCAGAAGCCAGTAACAAATCCACTGGTGAAGTTGCTAGTAACAGGTCTTGCAAACTATGAGGGCGAGAAATGGGCAAAACACCGTAAAATCATCAACCCGGCCTTCCATTCAGAGAAGCTAAAGGCACTATATGTATACTCTTGTCAATATTAATTCAAATATCCGGAGATTTAACAATTAATTTACTAAGTAATTTCCAAATACTCGTATTGTACAGCGTATGTTACCGGTATTTTCCTTTGTTTTCTACAGCGTATGTTACCGGCATTTCACCAAAGTTGTAGTGAGATGATTGAAGAATGGGAGAGCTTGGCGTCTAAAGAGGGTTCATGCGAGTTAGATGTTTGGCCTTATCTTCAAAATTTGACAGCTGATGTGATTTCTCGAACAGCATTTGGGAGTAGCTATGAAGAAGGAAGGAAAATATTTCAACTCCTGAAAGACCAAGCACAACTTACAATAAAAACTATACAAAGTGTTTACATTCCAGGATGGAGGTAAATAAATAAACAATACAGAAAACCCTTTTACGGTTAGACAGTAACTATAGTTAGATCAATTATTTTTACCATTGAGGAAGTTGTTTGTTTGGTGCAGGTTTCTACCTACTAGTATGAACAAGAGGATGAAAGAGATTGATAAGGAAATAAAAGGTTCACTGATGGGTATTATAAATAAAAGAGAAGAGGCAATTAGGGTGGGTGAAGCGACTAAAGATGACCTATTGGGGATACTTATGGATTCCAACTTGAAGGAAATTCGAGAAAATGGGAACACCAAGAACGTTGGGATGAGCATTGAGGATGTGATTGAAGAGTCCAAGCTGTTTTACTTTGCCGGTCAAGAGACCACTTCAGTGTTGCTTGTTTGGACACTGGTTTTGCTCAGTCAAAATCAGGATTGGCAAGCTCGTGCAAGAGATGAGGTTTTGCAAGTGTTTGGAAGCAATAAACCAGACTTTGATGGGCTAAGTCACCTCAAAGTTGTAAGTATTTACAATATATATCACTTCAAACTTTTACTTGGAAAGATATCCTTGCATCACAAGAAACAAACAAAGAAAAGTAATCAAATATATTTTTATGTTTCTCATATAAAAAATAAGAATAAAAACATTTTCGTAGTAGTTAATAAGCTTTTCATGTGGTACCTCATTCGCCTAACACTTGTACTATCATTTTTAGGGCCTGAATAAGCGAAAATTTTGATTCAACTACTGTCACGTTATCTAGTGAATAAATTTGGTGAACACTTGGGGCTCCTAATAGTGTTTTTCTTTTCTTGTTCTCTCTAGCTTTGTTTAGGCCTAGCTAGCCTGTACAATTTTGGATGCCTTTCATATCACTTGATATAAAATATGACTGTATAATGCCCCCAGGTAACCATGATTTTACTTGAAGTTCTTCGATTATACCCAGCAGTTATTGTGCTTTCTCGAGCCATTCACAAGAACACACGGCTTGGAAAATTGTCATTACCAGCTGGAGTCCAAGTCTCCTTAAACACACTGCTTGTTCACCATGACAAAGAATTGTGGGGTGAGGATGCAAAGGAGTTCAAGCCAGAGAGGTTTTCAGAAGGAGTTTCAAAGGCAACAAAGAACAAATTTAAATACTTCCCTTTCGGAGGGGGTCCAAGGATTTGCATTGGACAAAACTTTGCCATGGTGGAAGCTAAATTGGCCTTGGCCCTGATTTTACAACACTTTGCCTTTGAGCTTTCTCCATCCTATGCTCATGCTCCTTCTGCAGTTATAACCCTTCAACCTCAATTTGGTGCTCATATCATTTTGCATAAACGTTGATTTGTCTGACTGATAGGAAAAAGGAATCAAATAAAGATAGCCATAGTTCTAGTTGTTTGACTCTAATTTTTATGCGATATTGATATTTTATTGTAATTTTTTAAATCCTTCCATTCCATCAATCAATCTACTCTTGCAAGTGATCAACAAATCCAAGTCATCTATACAAATGATCTACACACCAAAGCCTTCTCAGCATTAGAATATGAGGACAGCAAACAAGTTATTAAAATTGCAAAATGAATTACGAATAAATTATTAACAAAAGGAAATATCAACAGTACGTGAAATGTGAAATGTGAAATGTTAGTCAAATTGGTCTTGGATTTTTGGTATGCTCCAAAGTGGTCCTGAATTCAAGCGCGTACGCATATGTGAGAGTTTCCTCCTTCCCACTTCCTAACTTAGGGAGAAAAAAAAGAAATACTGTGGTGCGAGTAGGAGTAGCTATCAATATACATTTATATTCACCAGAGCAAAAAGATCGAGTCTTATATAAATATTTGTTGTCTCCGATCTAAAGATAGACAGGATATATAAGGGCGCTTCTCGGTTGCGATTGCGAAGTCCAACAATGCGGATTCGTTACGGAATTGAATTTTTGACCGTGCGATTCTCATCCCGCGTTCACTCTTCTCTCTCCTCTATCCTCTTTCTTTTTTTATTCTTTCTCTCCGCCAGTTTTCTTCTTTCTCTTGTCGTCTGGTTTTTTTTTTTTTTCTCTCTCTTCTGGCTAATATTAAGATTCCAACATTGTTCTATAAAAAAATATATATTTCTTGTCAGATTTTGAATGGATGATAAGTGACCATATTCATATTCTAATCATCTTGGAGAGCTGGAGTCTTTATTTATTTTGTTCATTTAATAAATTGATATATGTGATAGTGATGTAGCAAGCACTGGCAGACATGATTCCATCCATTTTCTTTTTAAGGGTCTTTAGACTGCATACTCTTTTTCTCACACAAAAAAAATGGAAATCTCAGGGAGCTCCATGGTTGTGGCCATTCTTTGTGTGGGTTTAATTACACTGGGGTGGAAAGTGGTCAACTGGGTTTGGTTGAAGCCAAAGAAGCTAGAAAGGTACCTGAGGCAGCAAGGTCTTTCTGGTAATTCCTACAGGCCCTTGATTGGGGACTTGACTGACAACTTCAAGATGACCAAAGAGGCACTCTCAAAACCCATGGAGTTCTCTCATGACATTGTGCCTCATGTGTTCCCTTTGCTCCAAGAAACCTTCAACAAATATGGTACTTTTTTTCATTTTCTTTTGTCTCTCCTATGCATGTTTTTTTTTGCCTTCTCTGCAATTATCTGATTTCTTGGATGCTGTTTGCTAATTTTATGGATCTTGTTGATGGAGAACACTTATCAATCATTTGCTATCTATGATCAATCTGCAACAGATGTCTCCCTTTTTATGGATGGGGGCTTTTTTTACTTTTGTTTTTATACCAGCGATATTTTACTTTAATTTAATCTAAATTGCGGTGAGGGTGATTTGAGCTCAGATACAAAGTGCGGAGCACATCCTCTCTGGCCAAATTGGCTAAGCCAATGTCAGCAGGGGACTTTTTTGTGGAAAGGCTACAATAAAGGAGTATGAGTGAGGGGCTTAAGTGAGGGGTTCAATCCAACCATTAAACTTCAACATTTTCAACATTTTCAACTCACACATGGTTGAATTGGACCCTCACTTAAGCACCTCACCCAATCCCCCTTATTGTAGCAGCTCCCACTTTTTTGACTTTGAAATCTCATAGTTAGATGACAGATGATTTTACTTGGACCAAAAAATTGGCCAGAAAATTGCAGGGAGAAATCTTTCTTGTTGGGCTTAAGCCCAGAGCACCCACAAATTCATTAAGTACACCCAACATCCAAGCTTATTCAAACCAGAAACAATATCTTTGTTCCTGAAAAAAATCAAGTTGTAGGTGTTCTGATCAAATTCTTGGGTCCCAAAAATTGCAGGGAAAAAGTCTTTCATTTGGCTAGGCCCAGTTCCTACTGTGGTCATCTTTGACGCGGAATTAATGAGAGAAACTTTAACCAAGTATAGGGTGTTTGAGAAGCCACATTCAAACCCACTCCTCTCATTGCTTGCGACTGGCTTGATCAGCTACGAAGGTGACAAATGGGTCAAGCATAGAAGGATCATCAACCCAGCTTTCCACATAGACAAGATGAAGGTACTCATTTCTTTCATAGGTCAAAATTTCCAGCGCCTTATATGACAAGTTCTGTTTGAGACTGACACTCGAAAGAGAAAAGACAGACCATAAAAGTGCTTTATGGAGATGTCCAAGTTCTTTTCTAAGAAGCCCTTAAAATTTTAGCACTTGAAATTCTAGTAAAAGTTTTTAATGTGCATCTAATAAAACCACTTCTAGCAAAAAAGTTTGTGAGTAGAAGTAATTCCTACATAAACAGCTACAAACGAGCCCTTATTCTGTACTTGGCATGAGAGTGATTTTGGTTAATTCAAAATGCAACATGATTCAAGTTTTCTTCACTTTTCTTAAAAACAAAACTTCCAGAGAAGGAATTCTTCATGTCTTTCCGGTTCTAAACCTAGTTCCTTTTCTCTCTTTTCCCACATTGTTACAGGACATGTTACCTGCATTTCAAGTCGCTTGTGAAAACATGTTGAGCAAATGGGAGACGCATTTCTCATCAAAGGAGACATGTGAGTTGGATGTGTGGCCATATCTTTGCACTTTTTCCGCCGATGCGATTTCCCGGGCAGCATTCGGTAGTAACTTTGAAGAAGGAGAAGGGTTCTTCAAGCTCCAAAAGGAACTAGGTGCTCTGACACGCGAAGTTCTGTACTCGGTCTGCATACCACTGTTGAGGTGAAATCAAACTTCTAATGCCCTACTCACAAGGAAAACCTTGTTTTAGATGTTAAATGTACGGATCCCTAAACCCTACAGAAATTCTCCTATGAGATGTCTAGACGTTATTATCTTGTGGACGCCATGTATTTTCTATTACCCTCCTTGTTTTCCTCTCTGTTTACAATGGCATCCGCATGATAATAACATGCGGACATCCGGATGAGAGAATAACTATATATATAGGGTTTTCTCAAACCTCGATTAGGAAAACAATACGATTTATTAAGAGCTGCAAGTACATATCAATGTGCATGCAGGTTTCTGCCAACTAAAAGGAACAGGAGCATGAAACAGATCCCTAATGAAATGGCTATTTGTCTGAGGAGAATTATCAACAAAAGAGAGAAGGCAATGAGGGCAGGAGAAGCCACAGAAGATGATTTGTTGGGTATACTTCTGAAATCCAATTTCAGTGAAATTCAAGAGCATGGAGATGACAAGGACGTCGGAATGAGCATTGAAGAAGTGATTGAAGAATGCAGAGTGTTCTACTTAGCTGGAGAAGACACAACCAAAGATTTGATTAACTGGACACTGGTTCTGTTGGGCAAGCATCAAGACTGGCAAAGGCGTGCAAGAGAAGAGGTTGTGCAAATTTTTAAGAACAAACCAGACTATGCTGGCTTAAACCGCTTAAAAATTGTAAGTACTATTCTCTCTAATTCTCTTTGTTTTTTTTTGGCCCGTAAAATTTTGACCTGATTAGCTAAATCCCAAATGTTGAAATGTGTTTGTTGTAGGTGAACATGATTCTGTATGAGGTTCTTAGGTTGTACCCACCAGTCATTTTCACAATCCGAGAGATTACTAAGGAGACCAAACTGGGAGACATTTCTCTACCACCAGGTGTGCAGCTTTTCGTGCCAATTCTCTTTGTCCATCATGACAAAGAAATCTGGGGCGATGACGTCCACGAATTCAAGCCTGAGAGGTTCTCAGAAGGCGTCTCCAAGGCATCAAAGAATGAAGTAGCACCGTTCTTCTCATTTAGCACAGGCCCTAGGACATGCATTGGACAGAACTTCGCGCTCATGGAAGCGAAAACAGTTATAACCATGATTTTACAGCGGTTTACATTTGAGCTTTCTCCAGCCTACAGACATTCTCCTTTCAATATGCTCACTCTTGAGCCTCAGTATGGTACTCAAATCATTTTTCATAAAATCTAGAATCAGAATTCAACTTTCTGATTTGTAAGAATTCTGTCTGTTCATCCCTATAAATAACAGACTAAAAACTAATGTGAGCGGAGTGGGGGTGTTTCAGTACTTCAATAAGAACCTGAATATGTGTTATGTATAGTATAAGTAGGGCTTTCAAAGGAAACTTGAAATTTGAATACAGATAGAATATCCTATGTGTCAGATTCCGATTGAAATTGAAAATGCATAGTACAAGTACTCATTTTCTTTTGATAGGCAAGTTTTAGCCTATTTTGTCACGTATGTTAGATAAGATAAACGATCAATCCTCTTTTGTCAAAAAAAATATCAATGACTATGGCAACTGCCATTCTATTTATACATGAGACTTCTAGGCATGTCACTTACAACCATATCTGGCATGCACTTCCATTTGGGATATATACAAATTTGAGCTTCTCAGACCTAGTGTCAATCATCTTATACACCAAGAAAGAATTTTCTGACAACAAAGAAAGAGATGTTATAACAATATATAACCTGTCGGAAAAAAACATCATTTTTGAATGCATCATATTAAAAACAATCCACATGCTACACCATGAAATAGTAGCCTACTACGTAAAGCAAAGTCTTGAGTTGTTTTTTTCAATAAGATCCTACGTACAGCAAAGTCTAAAATTTAAGACTTGGAGGAAAACAATTTTTAATTACTAAGTTATTGGCGGTGAAATCTGTAAAGATTTAAGACTTGGCTGCCTGGTCATGAAAAAGCACAATAAGAATTTATTTAAGTCTAGAAAAGCATGTAATCTGAAAGACCAGTAATTACTAGTTGTGCAACCAGCGAGTGCAAAAAGGAAAAAAGAAATCCTTAGAACTACCAAGACACCAGAGCAGATGTAAGAGTGTAGACAAAGTTTTGAGACTCCTCATCCTGCTTAGTCAAGTACACAGGGCAGGCCACTAAAGAAATTTGAAAGATCGCCAATGTAACACACTAAATTTGCTTCTGTAGTGGAAACATATTACCATCCTCCATTCTCCCCCAACATCAACACCCCTCCCAACCCTGTCCCACAATAGAACTCCTCATTTTTTTTCTTCATATTTTACTTCAATCAAACCTGATAAATGATGTTAAACCTTTTGGACTTGATACATTCCAGCAGAGCTTCAAGAGTTTGTTACCCCAGTAAGCAGTTTGAATCTACATGAATACCTAAATCAGACTTAATTGTTCATACAAATCAGCTATTGTGTCTTAATAACCTTACTTGAAAGAGATCTTACAAAATGGTGAATTTGGGACAAAAGAGAATGTATAAATCTAACAGAAGCATCAGCCATAATTATATTACAGTATCAGATTGTCATTGTAGAGTAATCACAATTTGTCAACTTCAGCACACCCAAAAAATCCAGTAACACAAACTAACATGTTCTTTTACATAAAAGCAAACAAAGGGAGAGAAACACAAAGTTTCTCATGCAAATACAATACATGTAGTACAATGTCAATTGCTTACCTTAATGTTATAATCTTCTTTATGCTCATCAATCCAATGATCCAAAGCCATCAGGTGGCCACACCTAGTAAAGGCATGAAAAATGAAATAAAAATATTCAGGTGCACCAAAATGCCTAAAAGGAAGTTTGGAAAAAAAGAAATTAACATGAGAAGTTTAGATATAACAAAAATCGATGGGGTAGAAATTCACTCAATAAAAAAAAAAAAAAAACCTATTTTCTAAAGGTTGTGGAAATCCTTAATCAACAAAAAAAACTAATCACAAGCCTTCTAGAATCTAAACCATGACAAGCACATAACTATAGAAGGGACATAAACCAATTTGTCTTAGTCACACACATACCAAATCAATTTAGTGTTGCTACTCTGCTTCTGAAAGATAGCTCCCGTAAAATTAATAGTGAGCTAAAGACATTGCTCAAAGACAACATACAAATATGATCGGGGACATAAATTTCTTCAGCAATCAACCTCGACAAGTTGAAATAACTGCTGCTTGAGTTGACTTTATTTCCAGGTAAGAATAAATTAGGCAAAGATACTAAAGTTGGTCACATTTTTCATCACATAAACTACATCCTAATTACTATTAGGGACAGAATCACAACCAAAAAAGAATTGACTGAAGATACAAAAACTAATACAATAAGATAGATTTCAGAAAGACAAAAAAGCATTACCCTGCAAAACACTTTGCCTTGAATAAGACCATAAGGTACAGCTCCATATGTTCGTGAATCAAAGGAGGAATATATGTTATCCCCCTGAATCCAAACATGCCCCTTAGGCACCTATTCATCCAAGCCCAAAAACACAAAGCAACAAATCAATCACGTCAATCAGAAATATAATATGATAGTTTTGAAAAGGAAAAGGAAATAACTAAATAAATACTCTGTATTAAGCAGCAAATCATCACATTCCTAAGACAGTAGCACACTGAAAATGAGTATTTTTTATACTGTTCGAAAATGGAATCCCATATCAAAGTCGACATTTAATCTGGTCAAATCTGTTTGCACCAAAGTATATCAAAGTTTAGCTAGAATCAGAATGCATTCTCAATATTAACATCCCGTGGACACCTTTGTCTAAATATTAGTTACAAAGATTTAGGAAGCTAACTTAGGGCCCAAATATAAAAATACTAAACACTAAAACATAACTAGGATCACACGCTACATAAAAATCATGTACCACCAGCAAAACAGGAAGTCCCAGGTTACTCTTGACACGATAAAACATTAGACAGCGTAAATTGCATAAGCAGCATACTAACCAAGAATTTCCATAAACTAATAACTCTAAGAAGAATTACTTTTAGACCATCAATTATATACCAAATCAAGGCCCGGCCACTATAAAATGTTAGAAATAGCAACCACTTGACCGTCCTTTTCCCCACTCAATTGAGATTTCACAACCTAGATTCATACAGAGGACATTGAAATCTTTGCACACTACACATCAAAGGAGCTCCATTGAGCTGGAGCATAGAAGACATCTTCAATTAAGGAAAAAAAAGCCATTAAAACCACACAAAAAGAAAGAAAAAAACCATTTATTTATAAGTTACTAATGTTTTAATAAATACAAGTAAATTTCTTGTTTTACAACTTGACAGCATAACCAGACTACCAAAATACAAAATGCAGTAATAAATTGAACTCTAACGAACAAAATAACAACTTGCAATCACATACCACAGTAGTCTGAGACCTGTCACTGTGCTTGGGGTCGACAAAGAAGGTGACTTGATCACCCTCCATGCCCAAAATACGCTTGGTCACAATCTTTCGAGGGTCATTCGGAGACCGAACCAGGACCAAATCTCCGGCACCCACCTTCCCAAAGCGATGGGACACGTGTTCGGACAGGAGCACATCGCCAGAAATGTTTAAGGTAGGGAGCATACTAGGACCGTAGACCTGCAAGCAGCGGATAATAAGACGACGACCCTTTTGAAAATGGAAATTTTAGAAAGAGGAGGAGAATGAGGGGAAAATGGTAGGGTTGCAGTAACAACGAGCGTGGAGGAGCAGAGGTAGGCGTCGGTGACGTGGAGCAAACCCATGAACTTCGCTACAGTTACTGTGAGATCCTTTGCTTCCTTTGCTACGCTTCTCCATTGCCCCAAGTAGTTCAGTAGCCTCATCTCTCTCTCTCTAAGAAGCTTGAAAGGTTGAAAATTTATGAATGATGCGATGAATTTGAGGGAAGATTTTGAATTTGTACTGGGAAAGCTTGAAGGAGTTTGCTTGGGTATGAGGCTAAAGCTATGAGGCCGAAGAACAATGGGCACGACTGACGGGCCGATCAATGGGTCGGGTTAGACTGTAAATTATCGGGCCGAATTAGGCCCATCTACAGTTTCATTTATACAAATAAGAAAAAACTTGGGCCCTTAGATGTTGGTGTGGACGCTTGGAGTGAACAAGGTCTTGAGTGAGATGGTCAAACCACATTATTCGCTGCCATAACGCATGAGCTAAGTACACAAGCAACGTATCTTGAACCTCTACTATTCATTTTGTGTCACGGCTGATTAGTATCTTATTTTATGGATAGATGAATTGAGAATAGAAATATCTTTATACCAATAGCTAGTTTGGAATAAAATTTGCCTAGAAAACTAACGCATAAGTTTATGATTAGAAATATCCTGTAAACTTTGATGTTTCAGATTATTCCTTAGAAATAAAAGTGATCGCCCAATCTAATTGGATTGGATGGAACGAGATTTCTTCATTATTAGGCCGCACTGGATTGAATGGAAAATTTTACAAATCAAACAAAACTGGATTGAATTGAGTTGAGTTCATGAATTCTTCGACTTCCCTTATTGAAGTTAAATGTATGAACAAGATAGCAATAAGAGAAAATATATTGGTCAAAATTATTGATGACCCCAGAATTTTATTGAACAACAATGGTGAAGTATTATTTTTATTTTGTGCCAATTTGTGAAGAATGTATAACTAAATCAACAGTATAATGAGCTTAAGATATAGCATATTAACACATTTACCCAATTAGCAAGCAGTGGCTATCAGCTTGTCATTGGCAGAAGCACTTTGAAGATGTGCAGAAAATACTTGTAGTGATAGAAGCTTCACTTTTTAGCCCTTTTTTTAACTTCTGCCTAAGGAGTTCTTGTCTATAAAGGCCTTCCAAAAAATTAGCCCACTACTCAATCCTTTGAAGATTAAACATTACCATATCCTCCAGAGCTAATCGAAATGCAGACTTAGGAAGACACTCGAGATTTTGGATTGCAAGATGAGCTTTCTCTTTTGCTAACTCCTGTGCTTGTTCAATGCCGCCACACGCCTTAACCAATCTAATGGCTTCGTCAAGGGAACCAGTATCACTGAATTCTGATTCAATTATATCTCTTAGTTTTGGCTCTTTCTCTAGAGCAAAAATTACTGGGGCTGTCAGGTTTCCTTTGGCGAGGTCAGTTCCAGCAGGCTTCCCGAGCTGCTCTGCGGACTGTGTGAAATCCAATATGTCATCAACAACTTGGAAGGACAGACCAAGATTCTTACCATAGTCATACATTTTCTCTGCTATATAGCTATCAACGCCACTAAAAATGGCAGCTCCTTTGGTACTGGCAGCAATCAAAGAGGCTGTTTTGTAGTAGCTCTTAATCAAGTACTCCTCCAGTTCGACATCACAATCAAACAAGCTGGATGCCTGCTTTATTTCACCACTTGCAAAATCTTTGATAACCTGCCACAGCACTAACAGAATTACGTATAAATTAAAGGTTTCAAGTATTAACAGATTAAAGCCTCTTTCTCATTTTTGGTTCTTCAACTCGTGAGTTTAAATCATTTAGAAAACACACTAATGACTCTAAGCATTGAAAGAAGATTGCGACTCATGAAGGCAAGGGTAGGAATATGACACAACTTACCTGACTGATGAGCTTAATGACCTGAAGGTTTTCTAGATTTGCAAGATACCATGATGACTGTGCAAACATGAAGTCCCCAGCCAGCACCGCCACTCTTGTACCAAACATTTGATGAACAGTTTCCTTCCCTGCAAATAAGGTTCAAACCCATTGGAAGTGATCTGAGGGCATAAAAGAAAACAAAGACATGAAATACTAATAAGAAGTGTGGAAACATGCGGTAGTCGCTTTCTGTTAGACTGTGAATATTCAGTTTTCTGATAATGTTACGAAACTTCATGCCGTTGGAAGTAAAATTACTTTCCACTGGGATTTCTTTATCAAGTTTATCCAGAATATGCGCAATTTATGGATAGATACAGTAGCAGCTAAAAATTGGGAGCAAGGAATAGGTAGGTGATATATTTTGTCACAAAGAGACATCTCTGTAATTTCACAAGTGACATCCGTAAGAAGATAATAGTGCCTACCTCGCCGCATGTCACTTTCATCCAATACATCATCATGTATCAAGCTTGCAGTGTGGATCATTTCAATGATCTCTGCCAATCGACGATGCTCCATGGTAAGTTCCCTGAGTAACAAAGTTCAGAGCAAAGTTCATAATCTGTTAACTTCATAAAATACAGCGCTTTAAGAACATTGGATCAAACTCACTTCAACCCAACTATTTCTGATGTTGCTCTGGACACTAGAAACACCAATGCTGGTCTCATCCTCTTCCCACCAGCACCAAAGATCTGCTCGGCTGCGGACATTAAGACAGGGTTTTCTGCGCCAACAATCTGAAAGAGCATCTTATCACAAAGTGTCCTTTCCTCTTAAAATTGGTATAAACAGAAAATAAGGGCCTGACAATATATAGATTCAACAGGCATTGGCCCTGGTATGTGCACTAATCTAATTGTCCATGAATTATCAACCACATTACTTGTTTATCATACAGCAACACTGAACCAGAAGAAAACATGGAGCAAAGTAATGAAATAATGAAACATTACATTAGCATGGTTGATTTTCTACCACTTGCTAAGTGAACTTAAATTATTAAAATGGCAAATCATTTAAATGACCTTAGACATCAAGTCTATAACTCTTGATATGGTCTATCTACCTCAACAAAATTCTATGAACATTTTTGGTATGACAAGGGCGCCATAGTTTGACAGTAAGAAAATTGAAAATTTGACATTTCTAGTAAAGGATGATTGATAAGAAGTTTTACTGTACAACAAGTTCATGACTGGAAATGTATTTCCATGAGTGCAACTCAAACTCTTGAATCCAAACACCATCAGGTCAGACTGTCGCATGAATTTTTTCCTCAAAATCAGCTCACTTGGCAAATACAAGATTAGGACAAAGGCAAGGATGATGATTTGGAAAAATAAGAACTGATAAATGGGATAAGGTGAACAAGAAACAACAGGGTAAAGATTTATGTTGCCTACCCAAACAGCTGGATTAAGGCACTGCTGACCTCTGCGATTGGATATGTATGCTCAACTATAACTGATAAGCGACCAAATGGATAAGAGCCTGATCTACATAGAATGGGAAGACATGGACAGAATAAGTGAACAAGGATGCTATTCATACCTAAGGCCCAACAATGGGAAAGAACAGATAACCTCCAAATAAGCAAGACACTTCCACTTATTAGTACATTAAACGTGACAATTATGGCGTTAACAAGGTCCTATGTACCTTTGGAAGAGTTATCTGTCATGATGCCAAAACATCAAGAAAGATACCAAATTTCTGGCTTCTAAATTAAGCACATCACAGATATCGCAACTAGCAACAAGAACATTCACACACATATTGTTTCTTAGTCTAGTACTGCTTTCCGCATAGAAACATTACAAACTTTATTTCTATAGCTTCATGGGAGAAGGTAAAAATGTGTTCTTTTTTCTAGAAAGGATGTCACTAACTACTACTCATACAAAATATAGTAACTGACAGAAATACCATCAAGCAGAAAAAAAAAAGTTTGTTTAAAACTAAGCTCAGCTGGCACGAAGAAATGATTAGAAACTGTACAATGCATAGCAATATTCTAGACCATATAATACCTCATAGCTATAATATTACACAACACCATGAATTTCAATAAGAGTACTTACTGACTGAAGATTTTGATTTAATGTCAGGAGGTCATCAGCAACCACCTCAAACAAATTTGTCAACGAAACAGGCCTTCTTGACTCTTCGTTTAAATCCAAAACTCGTGGAAAACCTTGAGAAACACCAGAAACACCTGTAATGGTACAAACAAGAACCAAAACAAAACTTTAATTTCAAGCATTTGGTAGAAACAAAGCTCTACATTCAATTAACTAAAACTTCAACTTCAAATCAAAAGCAAACTTTAGTCTTACTATTTAGCAGAGTCTCAGCTGTTTTCTTTGGTACTGGAGTCTCAGCTGTTTTCATTGAAGACACTCCACACCGAATTCGGTCCCGCCTACCACAAACCAATTGCCGAGCTCCATAACCTCTACAAATGCCCTTAGAACTTGCCTTTGTGTAATTCCTCACTGAAGAACGGTCCAACAAAGCATTGGAAGAACACCCACAAGCCACCAAATCCAACACAGCTCTACCCTCAAGACTATGGCATGTCATTGACATCATTCTAAGCAATACCCAGAAACCAAAATGACCAAAACTCAAACTAAAACCAAAAACCCAGAAGAGAAAATCAGCTCAATTTCTCATAAACCAAACACCAGCAAGAAAGTAGTCATTAAGACAGTTGTGGGAACTGTAGGAAACTCTGTAAAAGAATCAAATGGGGCCACTGGGTGGGAAGCTTCTGTTTTAGCATGGGGCACAAGTTGGAATTAGAATTGAGTGGATCCAAGAAGCCCACATAGAAGAAGAGTTCTCTTTGCTCCTTATCAGTTGGAGAGAGCGAGAGATATGAGTGACCCTCAGAAAAAGAGTTGGAGGTATTGTGGGGTGAAGTTTAAAAGGCTCAACTCAAAGAGGAAGGGAAGTCCTTTGGCTTGGCTTATCTATGGTTGCAAATGAATGTCTGTCCTTGGAGTTTTCAAGTTTGTTGGTCAAATGAGAGCCAGAAACCATTTCCCTCTAAACGACGACTGGTTGTCATGAATATTAGATTTTCCACCAATCAGATCTTTCTTTATATTGTGTGATTTGTGAACTTCAAATCATTTTCATACAAATTTTAACTCAAATAGTTCTTCTATCATAAGAATATTAAGTGAAATTATTAATTTATCTTTTTACTTTTAAATCATTTTTTGTTGGCCAATTTCATTTAATTCTTTCAGCCCAAGTGGCCCAAAAGACTAAATGACTTAATAATGAAATGTGATCGAGTTAGATCTAAATAGAATGCCGATTGATACACGACACTAAC